ATTGTTTCTCTCATCATAAAGCAGCGGTGGAGCAATGAAAGAGATCAGACTTACCCTTGGATGGCTGAGGCGAGGGTGGGTGTCGGGAGTCGACAGCGAGGTCAAGTCTCTTCCAACTCCTTCTCCACCACCCGCGCCTTCTTGGTCGCGGGGCCAAAGAACGAGTCCATGGTCCGCTGCCGCTTGTCGAACTGGGCGCTGCCGATACCCCCGCGGGTCTTCTTCAAGCCCTCCAGGTGCTTCAGCACGTTGAGGCCAACCAGGGACAGCGTGACGTGCGGCTGTGGGAGGGCAGGTGTCCTATCACCAGACACCTTGGCCGCCGCCGCCACAGCGCCAGAGCCCTCGGAAACAGCCACCAAGCTGGAGTTGACCTCAACACCAAGCTCAGCATACCCCGTGTTGCTCCACCCAGTCATCCTGGCATCACCCAGCACCGCCGTCTCCCCCGGAGCAAATCGCGCGAGGAGCACCCGCAAGAGCGAGTCAAGGATCAACCCGTGGGCAACCACCACCACGCTCCCCGCTGCCCCATCGGCACTCCGCAACAGCGGCGACAAATGGCTCTGCACAAACCCCTCAGCCCGCAGCCTCATCTGCCTCTGCGACTCGGCCCCTTCCAGACCTTGCCCCGCAGCAAATTTCTTTCCCTCAGCCACGCCAAAATCCCGCTCCCTCAACTCACGAAGCTGAACAATCGTGAGCGACGGCGGCGCCTTGCCATCGGCAGCATCCGCGCCAGCAAGCTGCGCATCAACCACCGCCTGCGCAGTCTCGATCGCGCGCCGCAGGTCCGACGCAAACACGTGGCTGACGCGTCCGATCGCGGCGGCGCGGCCGGCCAGGTGGGTGCCGAGGCGGCGTGCCTGGAGCGCGCCGTGCGCGGTGAGCGGGGAGTCGCGGGTTCCTGCGCTGGGATGGTCAGCTGCCGCCATCGCGGACGTAGGGGAGAGGATGGGGTGTGGGTGTGGCGGAAGAAGCTTACTAAACACCAGCGACGTTGTCGACGGTTTCGCCGTGGCGGATGAGGAACAGCCGCATGCTCGCAGCAGTCTCAATTAAGAGAATGACAATGCATTTGGCTTGCTGGCCGCGCTAGGACAGGCGCATTGTGGTTGGGGGCGCGGCGGTGGAGGGCGTGGCCTTCGCGGGAAGGTGTGTGGAGGGAAGAAGAAAATGCTGGAGAGCAGAAATTTTGGGTTTTTGTGCAGCTGCCAGAGCTCGTGTGGGGCCTGCTGATTGGTTGGTCGGTCAACGATAGCTGCGGTGGGGCCAAACATTCGGGTCAGGGGAAGAGCACAAGGGCACAAGGTCAGGACTCCATCAAGACGACATGCTGAGACTGTGTGAGCCGCAATGCTTCAAGACTCGTTGCATTATCACGGTATCAAACCTCAAGATAAACCTCGCCTCTTGTGCTCTGTACCTGTATAAATAGATGCATGTACTACAATCCCGCCCATCACCTCCTCGTCTGGGTATCCAACAATTTCATCATCCTTCTTCCTCACACCATCAACACCAAATCCCACCATCAATCACCATTTCAATCTTTAATATTATCCGGATGCCACGGACACTCCTGCTTATGCGCGCTATTATCCTTCTCCAAAATCGCCTTATGATCAGCCAGGCAGTCCCAGCAAAATGCGTGGTTACACCAAGTACCTGGGTCACCAGCAGACATCAGCATACATCCAAGACGATCAGTCACAAACAAATAATCACCGCCGTGGCTGCCAAAGGGTTCACACAACCATGCCCGCACCTGATATTACACACCCCTTTCTCCATGGCCCAGCATGGCCCCGTCACCCGACGCAGCGGATGCTGTGGTTGCGCGTCCACAGCGCGTTGCAGCCCCAACAGAACTGGTAGCGGCACTTAATACCTGCGAAGACGCAGTTTAACATGGCGTTGTTGCAGGACGGAGGGGGCGGCTCCACTTGGAGTGAGAGTCCGGGGGGATGGTGTTGGGGTAGGGGAGGGAGAAAGGGAATTCGCTTACATGTCATGTGGGCACTGTAAAGTGGTTAGCAACCATCTTCCCCAGGGTCGATAATAAAGATCAGGGCACTTACCAGCCATCATTCTTCTGAATCGGCGCCTTACACCCCGGACACGGCTTCGTCACGCTCTTCACCGTCCTTGCACTCGCCTCCTCCTCCTTTTTCCGCCTCACCGCAGCCTCCCTCATCTCCCGATCCTTCCTCGCGCGGTTCTCCTTCTCCTTCCGTTCCCTCTCCCTCTCCGCCTCCCTCCTCCTCCTGCGCTCCTTCTCCTCCCTCTCCTCCTCCACCGCCCTCTTCTCGGCCGCCACCAACCCCTGCGCAAACACCCGGTCGGCATCCTCCTGCGCCCGCCGCGCCTCGGCTGCCCGCTCCGCCGCCTCGTTCTCCACCTCGAACCGGCTGCGGAAGTTGTCTGGGTCCGCGTTGAGAGAATCGTACTCGCCGCAGGTGAGGTTCTCGTGCCAGGCCACGCGGTGGTGGAAGCAACTGCGGTGGGCGCAGAGCCTGCAGGTGACGATTGGCTGGGCTAGGCCGCTCTCGTGGACCTGGCCGTAGCCGCAGCCTGAGGTGCACCAGATGAAGTTGGGAGAGGAAGAGATTGCCGTGCGGAAGGAGAGGGTTTGGTAGCTGGGCGGTGTTAGTAGAGTGGGGTGAGGGGTGGGGGGAAGGTGTGGACGAACCGCTCTTTCGTCTCATCGTCGGCAAACCGCTGGACGTCGTCGTACTCGAGCGTCTCGCGGCACTCGGGGCACCTGATCTCGTTCCAGAGGCGGTGGTTGAGGTCTACACGGATGGACGCTGCCACGCAGACGTTGCAGGTTGTCGGGTCGTGCGTGCAGGTCTTGGTGATGGTGGTTGCGGGGAACTCGTAGACGGGTTTCGTGTCGGTGCAGACAATGCACTCACGGTCGCCGCTGAGGAGGTCGGGGAGGCGCCGCTGGTTGGTGATGACCACGGAGGAAGTCGACTCGGCGACTGTGTATCGTTGGCCGAAGCTGGAATAGGTCAGTCGGTTGGCAGAGTGTGGGGGGTGTGAGGGGTGGTACGTACCCAAGGTCATCGGTGGCGATGGGAGAGGGCTTCTTCTCGGCGGAGGCATTGCTCGGCGCGGTCCGGAGAAAGGCCACGGTCATGGCATTTTGCTTGTTCTCGATGGCGGTAGCATATGGGTTGTTTGATCTGTTAGGCGCCCCAGGGCTCGGACTGGGAGGTTTAGTCGTGGTTGTTGGCCGTAAGATCTGCGGCCATCGGGTTGGGTTCGGAGGTTTGGGTATCGCTGTTGACGTTGAGCTCTGTGCCCCCGCCGTCCCCGTCGTGCCAACCTCTTCCCTCCTAACAGTTGCTTGGATCACTGGAGGTGCAACTGGCAGCGACCTCGGGGCCGTCTGACTCGACGTCCCTTTCCCCGCATCCTTCGCCAACCCTTTCCCTCCACCCACTGCCGCGTCATCGTCCTCGAAGTCGTCGAGCAGGGAGAGATTAAAACTCCAGTACCCGCCTGCCGTGAACAGCGCTGTATGCGTGCTGGCTGGCTCCGGCGGCGGCGGCGGGTTCGGCGCCGCCCTGCTGCTTAAGCCTAGATCTTCGTCCTCCTCCCAGTCAAACCCCCCAAGGATCGAGGGGTTGACGGCGCAGTACCCGCCCGCCGTGAACAGCGCTGTATGCGTGCTGGCTGGCTCTGGCGGCGGCGGCGGCGGCGGCGGCGGCGGGTTCGGCGCCGCCCTGCTGCTTGAGCCTTGATCTTCGTCCTCCTCCCAGTCAAACCCCCCAAGGATCGAGGGGTTGACGGCGCCGTAGAAGGCCTGGTTGACGGGCCCGGCAAACCCCATGGCGGTTGTCACCGTGCGGCGGTGGTGGGGAAAGGTGGGTGCGTCAAAACTCCGTCACCTCTGGAAGTGTCAACATGCGTTGACGAGCCTAAGTCCAAGAGGGAAGAGACTGAGCTCTGAGAGTCTGAGAGGAGTCAGTGACATGACACAAAACAAAAACCAATGTCCATATCATTTGGACAAACCAACTTACAACCGTCGCGAGAATATTCCCGTCTCTGCCTTCCGTACAGAAGGAAGGAAGCCACCGAACAAAGTGGTCTCAGGACAAGAACCACAACCTCAACGAGCTGGCAGGCAGAGCCTCGCCGTTCCAAGCCCGCCGACAAAACAGACAAAAAGCGATGACTGACGACACCGTACCGTTCGAGGATAAGCCCAGCCTGGAGGCCCGTGTGGTGCTGCGCCCTACGGCATTCTGTGCGTGCCAGACCAGAGAACCCCGAACAGTGCTCGGTTGGGGAAAGTGCAGATGAAACACTGCCTCGTGGGACGGGATGGTTGGGGGCTTTGGGGGCTTTGGGGGGAGAAAACCAGGCGAGGTGGGGAGGGGAGGGAAATGGTGGTGTGGTGCACTCGGGTTGGAGGGCAGCCCGACAATGGGAGGGGGAATGGGTGCGGGTAGGACGTGGAGGAATGTGGGGAAGGGAGGGGAGGTTGAGCCTCAATCAAGGCTTGGGTGATGGGGGTCGGTCGTGGGCCACGGGCAGTGGGTGCTAGTGGGCTGAGGTGCAGCGACAGCGGGGCAGCCGCCAGCTCAAGCGCCTGGACTAGGGGGTTGATTGGCGCCCGAACAGCCACGCTGCGCAGGCCTAACGGAGCGGCAGACCACCTGGAAACGGTGGACGCCAGCGCTGCGCCTCGGGCTGAAATGGGGGGTGTAATGGAGGTTCAGGCGAGGCACATTCTCAAAATCCCCTCGCTTGTGTCGATCTGGTTTGAGCAGCGGGATTGCTTGATGGGAATGGTTTCTTATTATCGGGTGTTTGGCAAACATGGGAAGGCTTGAGACAGGGGGAGACACAAGTTGTGGTTTGCAAGCAGCATCTGGTTGACAAGGCTGTGTTTGTTTGTCCAGGACCACCAAAAAGCGCATTTCATGCCCCAGTCACCATCTTTCGGGTCTGGGGTGCCGCCAAGACGCAAAAAAATCGAGTTTTGCCGAATTACGGGATTGAACCGTAGACCTTATCATACCTCAAAGCTAAGCTTACGAGTGACACGCTCTACCACTGAGCTAATCCGGCTGACTCTGTCATTCCGCGCCGAATCCTCACCCTACATGCTCCTTGCGCTGCTGCCACTTCTCCCACCGCATGCCCCCTCCACTGCCTGCAATTTACCCCCACTGCGCATTCCTCCACTGCATCAACGACCGCACGACTCCCTCCTGCCGATCCCGATGCGAAAAGCACAGATGATGCATCAGCGTGCGCTCCCCATTGTTGACAAACTTATCCCTCTTCTCCTCGGGGCCCCACCCGACCAGCACTACCTGCGGGCGCACAATGGTCGGCTCCTTGATGACATCCCCTTTCCCGACCTGGCGCATGTACAGCGCAGGCACGACCGTCGCGACATTGGTCAGCTCGCGGTACAGCTGCTCCTTGCCGGGGCGCGGGTCCAGCTTGGAGAGGACGAAGGGCTTGCGGTTCTGGAGGATGTTCTCGCACTTGAGCGCGGGCAGGTGCCGGACGAAATCGGGACTCATCTCGAGCTCCTGGCTCGCGTTCCAGACCACGTACGTGTCCAGGTCGAGGTAGAAGTGGTGGGTGGATGTCATGAGCTTCTCGTGCAGCCGCACGGCGGGCTTGATGATTTCGTCCAGGAGGCCCTGGCAAAGCTTGTTCCATTCTTTTTCTTTCTTGAAGATCTTGAAGAGGCTGGCGAGCTCGCCCGTCAGCTCGCGCGCGCGAGAGTTCCGGGCGCGCTGGTAGTCGGGCGAGCAGATGATGGCGTTGAGGGCCTCGGCGCGCCAGGAGCGGAGGGCGAAAAGGTCTGTGCAGGATCGTCAGTTGGGAGTCGAGGTACCTAACACAAGAAGCGACGGAGACATACCTCGCTTCGGCTCGACATTGCTCTGCATCGAGCCCTCCACAAATGTGACCATCTCGACGGCGTCCGGAACCGCTCCAAAAAGGATTTTCTGGAAGATATTGTCCTGCAGGAAGCGCATGACGACGGCAATGAGGATGTCAATGTCTGTCTCGGGGAACATGCACCCGTGGACCAGGTCGCCTTGGCTGTGCACGAAGCGCTTGAGCCTGTGAAGGTCCGCGGATCGCTTCTTGGCGGAGATCAAGACGCTCTCAATCTGGTCATCGTCGTCGAGGATGGGGTCCATCAGGTTGGTGATCCAGTCCGTGACGCCGTTGACGAGGTCGTCAAAGTCCTGAGTCTGACGGTCAGAATGTGCTGCAGTTAGTGCAGCAGAGGGGTACACTTGCCTGGCCAACCTCTTTCGGGGTGAGGTCGTTGCGGTACGGCTGCAGACTGAAGATGTGCGAGCGTGCCTCGTCCAGCTCTGCCTTGAGCTTCTTATTCTCGGCCTGCAGGGCGTCCAGGGCGGCGTCGGCCGACTCGGTATCGTCGTGGTGGTTCTCCACGGCCATCTCGCTGAACTTCTCCTCAAGGACCTGCGTCAGCTCCTCCACCACCCGCTCCGCCTGGTCGGCGCGGTTGTTGGCCTCGCCGAGCTGCGCAACCAAGTCCTCCATCTCTGCTCGCATGGCCCTTTGCTCCTCCCTTCGGTGCTCCTCTCGTCGCTCTCGGTCGCGGGCACGCTGGGCCCGGGCGGCGTCGACGGCGGCGGGGTCATCTCGGGGTGGGGGTGCCGGAGGCCTTTGTGTCAATGACGGTTGGTGAGCTTGCTGCGCTGCCACATATCCAGTTGGGACCCATACGCCGGGGTGCCAAGCACTGGGATATGCCCACTGCAACATGGTGGGATCTTGTGGTTGTGGATTGAGAAAGTTTCGAACTCTGCTGACCTTGGGTGCGGGTCGTTGATGGGCACGTCGGCAGCATCAGTGACCGGCGTTGCGTGGTCGGGGACTGGAGGAGGTACAGCGTTGGACCTGCGCACACTGGTGTTTGGCGGGGGTTGAGCGTGCGGCGGCGCGTTTCTCTGATCCGATGCTGGCGGGGCGTCGCTGCCCTCGTGGAGGGGGCGTTTCTCTGGTCGCTTCGGCGGAGCAACCTCGTGGGTGGGCATCGACTTTGCGGGCTCGCCCTCGAACTCGCGCCTGAGGTCCTCCATGATGGAGATGTTGGCGCCGAAGACGAGATGTGACACAAACGGATGCCTTCCTCTTGGCTTCCTAATGGCCTGCGCACCAGGACACGAATTGGCCGCCGGACAGTGGCAGATAATGGGATTATCTGGGAAGCTAAAGGAGGAGCTAAGTTACGGAAGTAAAATGAAATCCAATGGCTCGGTCATGAGCTGTTGGAGAGCCAGCACCTTATCAGGTTGGCGCCTCGGAGGGGTGAGAGCTGGCATGACGCCCGAGTGAGGGGCGCGCAGCCGACGCGGTAAGACTGCACTGCACATCCGGGCATCTGGAACGGGCTAGGATCCTCAGGCCGCCGTGCCTTGTCCCGGGAACCTGCTTCATGTCTTTCTCCAAGGCGCCTTGTGCATCCAGCGATTGCACTATGCAGCCATACGGTGTCTGTGTTGGGTCGGCGGTGATGGATGCCCCGCCACCGTTTGCCCACCGTTTCTGCTGGACTGACCCCGCCTTGACAGCTCACTAGCGCACCCCCGCAGGCCCACTTGCCTCTTTCGTCGCAGCCTTGCCAGACCACAACGGAGGCCGTCGCTTCGGCGACAGACTGGATTGCGCCCACGCCTGAGCGTCGCTCACACAGACTCAACATATCTGATATGTCCCCCTGGCGTTGCTTTTAAACCAAAAAGATAGCCAAAAATGCGCCCAATCTTGGCTCTTTTGGGTGCGAGAGTGCCGGTTGCCAGTAAAGGTCGTCGGTCTGCACGCCGCGATCGTTGTCGCTTTTGGTTCAGCATCCCTGTCAAGACTGTGGGGGCCTAGGCAGCCAAGCCCACAGCCTTCTGGTGCTGCCCCGCCATCTCAAGGTTGACCAGGTCACACAGCTTCCATCCTGCGGTTTGGACTCTGTGCTCTGTGTGCTCTGATGGACGCACTTAAAACGGAGCGCAGCTTCGGGCTGCATTAGCTGCTCGAAGCGAGAGGGGCGCTCTATCGGATTGCGCGCCAGGTGTCGCTCGGGCGCGAGCGCGTTAAGGCATCTGGCGGGGCGTGTCATGGCTGCAAGTTCCATCGTCCTGCCTGCGCCATGCTTCGGTCTTGCATGCCCCTGTTGACTGCAACCTACCAAGTCCTGTCCTGTCAGCAATCGGAGCAACCAGCACAGCGCAGCGCTCAGCACGCTGCACAGCACCAAGCCTTGACGACAGGCAGACTGACGACAGGGAGCCTGATTGAAGCCTTCCTGCAGGACGCTGCGTATCTCGTCTCGCTGCACCTTTTTTTCATTTCACCTCAGACTGTTCCTTTCTTCCTGAACAGAGTGGCGAGGCTTGACTGCACCCACACACTCTCTTCACCCATTCCGTGGCTCAACCCGAATTCATCTGCCTCCCAACTGCCCATCATGGACTTCGAAAAGCTCAAGATTAGCGACCGCAAGATCATTGTTGGCATCGACTTTGGCACCACCTACTCGGGCGTGGCCTGGGCCGAGACCCAGCGACCCGACCGCCGCGTTGCCGTCACCGTCTGGCCCATCTCCAAGGCGGCTCCCGAGGGCGAGTCGTCCGACAAAGTGCCTACCAAGCTGCGGTACAATGGCAGCAACGTGGAATGGGGCTTTTCCATCCCGGTGACCGCCCCCTCGGACGAGATCATCGAGTGGTTCAAGCTGTGAGTGCTGCCGTTTTGTTGCTGATGCCGCACCCTGCGCCTCCCCCAGCTTTCCTAACTTTCCACCACCAATTCCAGCGACCTTGACCCCTCGCTCCAGTCCATGGGAACCGCCGTGACCACCGCCGCCTCGCGAGGGGGGCGCAACGTCGACAGGCTGGTCACAGACTACATGTCGGCTCTCGGCGAGCACCTCATGTACACCCTGCGCGAGAAGCTGAGCGAGAGCGTCGTCAAGAACACGTCGCTCGAGTTTGTCGTCACCGTCCCGGCCATCTGGAGCGACCTCGCCAAGGACAAGACGAGGCAGGCCTGCCAGAGGGCTGCCGGCCTCTCAACGACCAAGTCGCCCATCCACATGATCTCGGAGCCTGAGGCGGCTGCCATTTATGCCCTCCACGGCCTCGATCCGCACGGGCTCAAGGTCGGCGACAGGTGAGGCTTTATGTTTCCGCATTTGATTGAATCCGTACTTCTAACACAGCGAGTGCAGCTTTGTAATCTGTGACGCTGGCGGTGGTACCGTCGATCTGATCTCGTACACCATTACCAACCTCAAGCCGATCCTCGAGGTGCAGGAAGCGACACCCGGCACCGGCGCCCTCTGCGGCTCGAGCTTCCTCAACATGCGGTTTGCCAAGTTCCTCAGGGCCAAGCTGGGGCGGGCCGACGGCTTTGACGACGAGGTGCTGGCCGATGCCATGGAGAAGTTTGAGAAGACGGCAAGTCTCTCTTTTGTGTTCCCTATCATGTAGCCATATGCTAACATCCATCCAGATCAAACGGCAGTTTACGCTCAACGCCAAGGACGACGACACCTACATCATCCCCGTCGGCGGGCTCGCCAACAACAAGGAACTCGGCATCAGCCGCGGGCGATACTCTCTCAAAGTAAGTCGCAGTTCTCCCTCCCTCACGCCTTAACTTTTCTAACAACCCCCCCAGGCCTCCGACCTCCGTGTCATCTTCGAGCCCGTCGTGCAAGAAGTAATCAAGCTCGTCAAAGACCAAATCGCGTCTTCCAAGGTGCCCATCAAAGCGGTTCTCCTGGTCGGCGGCTTCGGCGCCTCCAACTACCTCAAGGAGCGCCTCCGCGGCGCCATCAACTCATCCATCCAAATCATGCAGCCGCCCAACGCGTGGCTGGCCGTCGTGCACGGCGCCGTAATGAAGGGCCTGGCGCAGAGCGCGCCCGACCAGCTGACCTTGGTGCGCGTGCAGAATCGGCGGGCGCGCAAGCACTACGGCACCGAGTGGCGCGTGCGCTACGACGAGAAGCTGCACGGCGCGACGATGCGCAACAAGAAGCACTGGTGCGGGCTGGACGGGTGCTGGAAGGT